GACATGTGGCTCAAGCGGTAGAGCACTTGCTTTGCAAGTGCCAAGCCCTAAGTTCAACTCCAGTCCCCCAAAAAAACAATTAACTTATAGTGAAGATCTTTCCCACAAAGAAAATTTCACTAGAGAATTATATCAAATTTAAGGAAGAAGAAATACCAACTGTATTGAAACTCTTCCAGAAAATTGAAAAAGAAAAAAAACACTAAATAATTTTATGAGGTCAGCACTGCTGCGATACCAACCAAAGATACATTAAAAGAAACTAAAGACCAGTATCTTCTGTGAAGATAGATGCAAAAACTCTCAAAATTTTAGCAAGCTGGGAATGGTGGTATATCCCTGTAATCCCAGCAACTGGGGAGGTCCTCTTGCCAGAGGACAGTGAGACTAAGGTCAGCGCAGAAAAAAATTATTAAGACCCTATCTCGAAACAAAATTTTTTTAATAGGGCTGGGATGCTCAACTGGTAGAGTGCTCATAGCAAGCACAAGCGGGGTCAACCCCTAGAACTGTTAGAAAAATGAAATTAAAAAACCAAGCCCAACAATATATAAAAACAGTAATATATCCTGACTCAATGAGTTTTGCCTTTGGAATGAATAGTGGGTTTTTTGTTGTTGTTTCGTTTTTTTTTTGCAGTTCTAGGACTTGAACTCAGGGCCTGCACCTTGAGCCACTCCACCATCCCTATTTTTGTGAAGGGTTTTTCGAGATAGGGTCTCGCAGAACTCGTTGCCCGGGCTGGCTTTGAACCGCAATCCTACTGATCCTGGCTTGGCCACCGACACCAGCCAGGAATGAATAGTTTTGCTTTTGAAACTAAATCAATATGTAATCTGTATTAACAATACTAAAAAAAATAAATAAATAAAAAATCAAAAATCATGGGATCCCTTTCTAATTAAAAAAACAAAACAGCCTCCTTGGGCTGGTGGAGTGGTTCAAACGTGAGGCCATGAGTTCAAAGACAGGAACCACCAAAAAAAGGAAAAAAAGCCTCGGAAAGCCAAGAATAGGGAATTTCTTCAGTTTGATAAAAGGCATCTATTAAAACTTATAGCCAACCTCGTGTACTGGTAGAGACTGAGTTCTTTTTCCGGAAGATCCGGAGCAAGGTAAGGATATCCACACCCGTCAATTCTCTTCAGCAGTGTACTGGAGGGTTTGGTCAGTGGAATAAGGAAAGAAAAACTAATGAAAGGCAGCCAAGAGAAAAGCAGCGATCTATCTTTCCAGGTGGCATGGCTTGTGTAGAAATGGAGTCTATAGCAAAGCTACCAAAACTAATGTGAGTTTATCAAGGTTGAGATACAAAATCAATGGTTTTTATATAATACTGGAAATGAGGAATAGGAAACCACATTTTAAAAATGTTCTTAAGATAACAGAAATATAAAATATATGCAAGATTTTTCCACTGAAAACTACTTGTTACATAGTAGGTGTTTCGTAAATATTGAATGAGGAAAGTGGTGGCCTAACTCGAAGCCATTCAGTTTCACTCCAGAACATCTGCTCTAAAAAAAGTCAATACCTTTTGTCTCTAATATGAAATGTTTTGTATCTATTTAAGTTTTACTGTTTAAATTTCACAAATCCCAATAGTGTCAGTCTTTTTAATAACAGGGCCAAATGCTTAAAATATTCTAGCATTTGGTGATCGTGAAACTTGAGATGTAAGAGAATACTCTTAGTTTGAATCATAAATATCTTAAGGGGCTCGCTATGTGGTTCAGGGTGTGAGAATGAGCTTAGGTGGGGTCTTTTCTGTCGAAGGATTTAGTCGCTAACCACTGCCGTTACAAATGGTAGTGTCACTAACTCGCTTCCCCTAAGCTTGCTTCGTGGGCTCTGCTTAACGTGATAAAAGTTGCTATTAAAAACAAGGGGCTGTTATCCTCAGCTGTACAAAATTCAGCTAGAGGCCCTGGGGCTGATAACCTACAACAGTTACTGCTTCCCTGAGCTTTTTTTGTTTTTTTAAATTTTAGTAAGGATTTATTTTAGTACAACAGGATAAAGTATAGACTGGGGCCAGGGAGAGAAAAAGAAACACTTCCTGTTCCCCACACAGGAAATGGGAGCAAAGACTCTTCCCTCAGCTTTTGAACTTCGTCTTCAAAGCCCCCTCCCTATATCCTCTTTCCAATTAGCCAAATGCTTGGACCGTGAGCCCAGAACCTGCCCAATTCAGGGGACGGTAGCATTACACTAGAAATAAAAACCCCAGCGGACTCCCCACTGGGCACCCTTCTGCAGAGGTAAATTTTGCTTTGCCTGTTGATTTCTGAGTTGTGTCATCGCTCTCTCATGACACCCCAATATCTTAAAGCTATTTCTAACAAGTGGTAGATGCTGGGTTCAATTCCAAGGTGGTAAAACTCTTAATTACTTTACCTGAGAATAGGAAAAACAGTGACCAAGACCATTGGTGTAACAAAGAAATGCCTGGGCCAGTTATCCATTTCTGCAAACTTGGAAATAAATTATCACAGGCAATCCCTTGCAAAAATTTCAAGTTGGCCACCCCATCCAGTGACTCGCTGGCCACACCTATGTATGTGAGCATTGCCTCCATCATCCAAGGCAATCAGGACCTCAAATTATTGGGAAATGCAAAAAAAATCTCAGAAGCTGAACTATTATATTCTAAAACACTATGGAATCTGTGCATGGTGTTTTAGCAATGCACAGAGTGGAGTTAATATAGTAGGCATCTTCACACAGCTGCCTGAGAGACAGTTCTGAGTGTGGGCCCAGGATTTCATTTCAGTCTGTAACTGTGAATCAAGGTGGGTTCTTCAGAGGAGCTAAATTCCTTCAGAAGACCATGTAACCGCACAGAAAAAAATTGTGATTTTTCAGCAACATGTAGGATATAAAATTACATGTATTTGTATTTCTAGTGGTGGTGGTGTGTGTGGTTTTGTTGTGTTTTGAAACAAAGCTTCACTTTTGTCCAGGTTGGCCTCGAACGCCTAGACTCAATCCATTCTCCTGCTGCAGCCTCCCGAGTAGCTGGGACTACAGGCACAATTTACCAATGCTTGGCTACAAGCAAAGATTTCTGAAAATGAATTCACTTCTGAAGGCTTCTTTTCTCCTTTCTACTGAAAGGAAACTATAGCAGAATCAAGGGAAGGTGGGGCCATTGCTGAGTTCTCTAGCACATCTTACATGGCTTAATTCTCGAATAGACTGCTCATAAACCGCATGCATGCAGAGCACGAAGGTTGTGTGGGTGTCTGGTTTCATTTTAGTTTTCCAGCCATAGATGTTGCACTTGTGATGGTATCCTAAGTGCCAGGATGTCACAGATCCACCTGGAGATGGTCTACATGGGATGATTATTTCCCCATAGGCCACTTCTCTAGAGTGCTGAGCAGGAGTGGAAGAAAACACATGTTCAAATTGGCCTATAAACCTAACCTAACAGTATTAAATAACAACTCAGGGGACAAACCAGGAGGATGCTCATTTATATGAATTTCCAATTAGGGTCCAATTCTGTGACTTAACAGACAGCCTTTCTAAATTTATAATCAATTATGGAGATCTCAGAGTTTTTTTATTCATATGTGCATACATGTTTGGGTCATTTCTCCCCCCTTTCCCCCACCCCCTCCTTTAAGAGATGTTCTTTGTCATTTTCCACTCTGATGCGCAAGTGGTCTCCCACACAACTTGTACCTACAACAAAATAGCATGAGACTTGGGAATGAAAAAGCTTTCCAACTTGATAAGAATCATGGTTTGCTGTTGAATGAACTTCTATTGCCATGCTCTAAATGCTTTTAAGAAGAATGTTATTACCTTAATTTCACAAAATGTGTGGGTTGTACCTGCACTTCTATAGGTTTCCTTCTATACCCATGTCAACAGTGGCTTAGTGTATTTGTCCCATATCTGGGCAAACGGGGCCTTCACTTCTCAGTGTCATAAAAATTCATAGGAAACTACAAAAATCTGACTCGGTTCATTCCTTTTGGACAGTTAAGATAATATTGAATTTTTGATAGTCTACATTCATAGCACTTAAAGAAAACAATTTCCTGTCTACTCTGGTGTCAAAAGTCGGTTGCATAATGTATTTCTGCTCTACAAAATTGACTTGCGGAGTCATCGGATTCATAGGACTTCAGTAAAATTTGATTAAATTTTTCTAATTGCTAACTTGAGTGCCTCACTTTCTACCTCAATAATCTGTGTACACACGAAAACACTACAGGACACTTGAGTTTTATTGATTTTTTTCCCCCTGTTTGTCTTAACTTTTCAGGCATATTAATCCCCAGGTGTTAAAAAAATATATATCAAATCCTAATGCACAGCAAAGGCATCTTTTCAGATATACAAACTTAAGTTTTCCTCTCCAAAACAGTCAACAGGGAAAACCTCAACACTGTATCTAGATCTGGGTAAACCACTAGATTGCCTATCTGATATTTCTCCTTTTTTTGCAGAAAATTACGGCAAAGTTTAGACAAAAATCTGATGGCTTGTTCGTAAGGCGAAATCGGGGTTTCCTAACTCCGTACTAACTTTGCTGCACGCTCACCCGCGCCCCACCCCTCAATCCACTACCCAGGAAATGCAAACTTTTTATGCTCAAGCAGAAAAAAAGAAACCAAGAAGCCACGAACAAAAACCAGATTCGGGAACCCATTCTCTCCATTTGTCACCAGCGAACTGGCTTGTGCTCCTCCGCCCCCTTTGGCTTCCAGCCCTCAGGGGGCCCACTGGGTTGTCACAACCTCCCAGCTCTCAGTGCTACACTGAGGACACGTGCTCTTCCTGCCAAGCTGGGCCGCACGAAACCTAGTCCCGTCCCGCCCATTGCACCTCCAGCCAATCGCGTCCCTAGACGTAGCCAGGCCCCGCCCCTCAGGTTCTGACCGAACGCTTTTGTTCTCTTCTGTTTTCGCATTCCGCCTGTGCGCTCCCAGCAAACCGAGTGGCAGCCACTGATTGGTGGTCGCGGCGCAGCCAATCAGAAGGGGGCACCTCACGTTAGGGCTCGGAGTTTTAACCATAGGGTGGAGGGGCGCGCGGATCCGGAGTGCTGGCACCGCGGAGTGGGTTTGGCGAGCACGGGACGCCGAGGCTCGCGCCCGGAGTTGTGCGGGGATTGGGTGACCCGCGGCTTCCTCCGCCTCCAGCCAATCGCCGGGGAGGACTTCCTGGAGGATTTTCCTGCGCTGGGGTGTAGCTCGGTCCTTAAGTACGCGGTGGCCGTTGGTGCCGGGAGACCGTGCTCTTCACCTGCAGCCATGAGGCTCCGGAAAGCCTGCCTGCTCGTCCTGCTCTTGGCGATGGCGCAGCTCCTGGTCGCGGCGAATGCCGGGGGAGCGGACGAAGGTATACGAGCGAGCGGGAGGGCCGGGGCTGGTTAGAGAGAGGGCCGCGTCCCTTCCGAGGTCTGGGTGACCGGGCGGGCTTCATGCACATCCCCTGCAGAGCTGGCAACTGGCGTCGTGCACGGAGCGGACTTGATGGAGTTTTAGAGGCGATACCGCGGGCTGATGAGCTCCTGATCGTTTTGGGGATCCCAGTAGAGGAGATCGGGTCCTCATGAGCCCCGACTCTCTGAAAGCCCCTGTTATGCAGTGTGCCTTCTTTGCAACCAGCTTCTTCACCCTCATTTGCTCAATTTTGTTTCTCTGCCCTGGAAAAGGGAGTGCAGAACTGGTTAAAACTTCCAGGCAAACGCCCTAGGAGTGGAAAAGAAGAGGGGTGCCACACTATTTTCAAAACAGGTGTCAGAGCGGGGCCGAGGGCGGGAGGACCATAGTGAGAGTTCTCCGGGCAGTCTCGGGCAGCGGGCAGTTTCTTAAAATTTAAATTTGGAAATAATTAACGCATGCATTCTGGGTTAAGAAAGAGAGGCTTGGCCTGGTTTGCTTTTTTTTAAATGGAAACCGGGGCTAGCACTCGTTCTGCCAGCGTTTATTCGGCACCTACTATCCGCCAGTTACTGCTCTGGGTCGTAGGCGTCAAGGCTGGTCAGGTGCACACTCGGTGTAGCTCTTAGGTCTTCATTCCTGCATTTTTCCTTCGAAATTAGCTAGCTGCAAACATGAGAACTTTGAAAATTAGGAAGTGCTAGCTAAAATTCCTAGAGAACATAGCACCCAGTACAGTAGTATTGGTCTTAACCTTGCTCTTCTCTGCCCTTCCTCTTAACTACCAGCTTTTTACCTTATCGAGTTATTTCCAATATAAATAAACCCTCTTTTCTAATATTAGTGCTTAGGGAGAGGTGTGAATTTTACACTCTTTCAGACAGATTAAGTAACTTCGTGTGGATCACTGATTCGAAAGTCTGCCCAAGTAAAAAAAAAGTAATAAAAACCAGCACTAGGTGGAAAAACACCTGCTAATAGAAACCAGGTATCACTGCTGCCTACAAGTGTGTCTTGGCACTTTTATCCAAATCACCTGGGTACTCATTTAAATACAGAAACCGAAAATACCGGAGTGGACCCTGCAATCTGCATTTTAAACAAGTTTTTCACAGCCAGTTAAAGTTTGAGGACCATTGTGTCTTGGTAGGTAATTTTGGAACATAGCTAAAAAGCAAAATAGCATTGTCTTGGTTTTAGTCCAGTGGTCTATTTTGGAATGAATTCTTGAGGGACCTGGGAGGGAGAGTGACACACTTAGGTGGACTAAAAAGGCTATTGGGACCAGCCAGTTTATCCTGTGGGTCACAGGTCACTAGGGCAGTAGAGACCCTGGGAAGCAGTTGTCTCTGGAATGAGCCCAGAAATCCCTGGGAGTCCTGGCTAAGGACCGTCTTCTGGGACAAGGCTTTTTCTTCTTACCTTGACTCTTTCCCATCCCTTGGAGCATCCTTGGCTCTTCATTTTCACAGCTTTTTATGGATAACTTGACCAACAGATTTGTTTCAGGGCTGCACTATGCCTACCACAGATATTCTAAATCTTTAGCCCTTTTTATCCTCTGTCATATTTTAGGTTCAGCACCATAGTGGTGTCTGGACACCTAAATGCCCCTCTCCCTGTGTGGAAATTCACTTGTGTGTCACATTAAGAAGCTTTTAAAACTGCTTTTCTCTTTTCATTCCTAAGAAGCAATTCTTTTCAGAGCCTTAAAAGTGGAAGACCTAAATGATTACACCTAAAACTGGGCATGTTGCAAAGAAAGCCTGTGACACATAGCAGTAAGTTGTCAAGACTTCCCTTTCACTAAGTAGCTTGGAGATCCTCCAGCAGGTGACAATAGTTCCCTGGGCTTATTTTCTTCATCTGTAATCGATAGGTAATACAATTTCCTCCAAAGGTGAAGTGGTGTGTTTAAGGGCTGGGATGTAACTCTGTGGTGGAGTGCTTGCCTAGCATGTGGGAGGCTTTGGGTTTGATTCCCAGCATTGCAAAAAAAAAAAAAAAGTGTTGGGACGAGCACAGAGTTTGGCACAGTGTCCTGTCTATAGTTGATATTGTCTACAATGAGCCGATCCTTAATCAGATAGCAACTTTCTCCCTGTTTACTATTAACTGTTTAGCATTGGTCTGATGGTAGTTTGTCCAGCTGTTATGAGCCCCTCCTGGTGAGAGTTAGAGGTAGTGTGTACATCCTTAAAATAGCTGCCTGTATCTGGCTGGGCAGGGTTGCAGTGTTGTTGTCAGGTGTGTTCAGTGGGAGTATTTCAGGAGTGGGCTGAGCAATGTGGAGGTGAATGTGTGTCGCTTCACTTGTCTTCTACAGAGGAAGATTGCACCCTTTCAGAATGTGCTGGTAGGTTTTGGATTTATTTTCTTAGTGTGTCCAACTTTAAAAGTGAAGGCCAGGACTGGGGATGCGGCTCAAAAGATGCTGAATTCAATCCACCAGAAAAAGAGCAAAGCCCAGTGAAAAGCAGTGTTCTCATTAAGATCTGGGGTATTTTAAGTTGCAGGGATGTGTAGATTCTAGTGGATAAGAATAGAGAGGTAGGGGTTAGGAATATAGCACCCATGACAAAAAGGTGAGGGTGGGTGGGCATAGAGCCAGCCCCTTGTCAAATTACAGAGGAATCACCAAGGTTATTTATGAGTTGGGAGGAATAGAAAGGTAAGGCCATGTCTTAAAACGGTTGACAGTTCTTAATTTTACAGGGGATGTCCTGTCATTTAAAACTGTAATGAGAGGCCTCCTGGTGCTTACCACAGGCTGTGTTCTTACACTGACTATAGAAAGAGGAGGAAAAATAAACCCACCCTGTATGTACCTCAGCCCAGTTCTTGTGCCTGGTCAGTATTGTGAATGGGGAGAAATGGGAGAAAAAGAAATAAAGCTGTAATGAAATTCATCTTTTTAAAGGAATATGCCTCTTGGGAACGCCCTGACCCATTTGATCAGGAGGTCTCCTTTGCTAGCAGTGTTGAGAGTCCACTTCATGCTACACGTAGGCAAGAGAACATATTTGTGCTTCCTTTTTTGTAAAATTCACCCAAGAAGGACCGTCCATGCAGCCCTGTTTTAGGTATATTCACTGTACACATAAATCTTCCACCTGTGTAACTGGGAGGACTATCAAGTTCTCCTTCCTCTCCTAGCCGTGTTTTCTAGCTTGAAGAGTGGAATGAGTCCTCTAATATCTTCTCTGTCCACGTTTCCTTATCTCCATTCTTTCCATCTGCCTGCCAATAAATTCAGTTCTCTGACTGGGCCTAGCAGCCCGGGCAGTGAGTGTGTATGGAGGGTGGTCCACAAACCCTACCTGTGGAGCACACAGAAGGAGGTGGTGTGCTGTGGCACACCATGCACCTCATTGGATCAGAGAAGCTGTGTGACATCCCTGCATCAAGCCACCAGGCCATCTAGGGGATCTCTCAAATGAGGGGTACAGTTAACCTGTGGGAAAGCCAGTCATTGCTTTTTTTCCCTGCAGGGTTACAGTGGACTGGACACCTGAGGTAGCTTCAGTAGTGAGCCCAGGGAACCAGTATTATACTCAGAGGGTGGCAAGAGAATTAAGTTCCGTGATTCTGGAGGACCAGGCCATATCGTGTAGGCTGGGAGGGGATTCAGTCTGATGGGAGTATAAAGGAGTGTAAGCCACAGCCCTGGAACAGGAGTTAGTTACCACTGAGTAGGGTTAATGATACCAGAACAAGATACATCTTTTGTTTTCACATCGTCTTTCAAAGAATCACATCAACAGACCAGGCACCATTTTTCATAATTGTTCTATTTTTGTCATTAGTTATTACTCTCTTACTGTGCCTCATTCATTTGATAATTTGTAAAGGATTTCTTTTTGGCAGCACTGGGGTGTGAACTCAGGACCTTGTGCTTGCTAGGCGGGCTTGAGGCTGACGTCCAGACCACTAATTTTAAATTCACTGCTTGCTAGGCAGGCGTGCCATCCCTAGAGCCATACCCTCAACCTAGGCACCAGTTTTTGAGTTCCACAGAGCAGAGTTCTTTCCATTCCCAGTCAGTGATCAACAAAGATTTGAATAGGGAGGCAGTAAAACCGTGGGAATGCTGGGTTGTTCTCTGGGGTGAGGAAGCTATCTCCTATTCCTTAGATTGTTACCCAAAAGCACATGCCATGTGGGCCAACCAGGTGCTGTCACACACTCCACCAAGGGCTTAGGGTCTTCTCTGCGCCCTTCCCTTCCTGTATACCCCGGGAACCTGGCCCTTTGTTTTTTTATTATTTATTTATTTATTTTATTTATTTTATTTTTATTTATTTTTTTTCATTCATATGTGCATACTGTGTTTGGGTCATTTCTCCCCCCTTCCCCCACCCCCTCACTTACCCCAAAAATAATAGTTATTATTTTGGGGGGCTATTGGGGCTTGAACTCAGGACCTCATGCGTGCTAGGCAGATGCTCTACCACTTGAGCCACTTCACCAGTCAAACCTGGCCCTTTGTGCTCGCCCCAGCCCTGGCACCTGCGGATGGTGCCTAAGAGGGTTTCCTGCTGCCATAGGAGGTAACAAAGGGCAAGAGAGTCACAAGCTGGCTTGGTTTCTTCCCTTAAACTCATGGGCATTTTAGAGTTCTTTCTCCTGCCTTCGACAAAGGAGGGGTGGAGGGAGAACTGTGCAAGGAGGGAAGAGGTAGTGGGGAGGGAGGAATGGGAATTGAGTGATAGTGGCTAGTGGGAGGTGAAGGTGGGATTTTTGTAGGTAGTTTGCAGATTGGTAGATGTGAACGATAGTTATCAAAGCGTCCACAGAGTGCTAGAGAGGGAGTGTGATGGGGCCGTGTGCAGGGTCTCTTTGTCCCCACAGCTGCAGAGCCAACGCTGGCTTAGTACTGTTGGCAGGTCCCAGGGGCCTCAGGATCCTGAGAAGAGGTTTTTCAGGCCCTGATCACACCCTTAGCCCCAAACAGTAACTAGCAGTGTTAACTGAGCTCCTGGGAAGCAGCTTCAGAAAAGAAGAATAATTGGCCCCTTGAAACATTCTGGCTTCAGAGTTAATGAAATTATCGTGCTTACTGCACTCAGATCTGTTTGCTGCCATGACTGTAGGTGGAGAAACTGGTTAATGAGAACTGGGGGTCCATGATCACTTATGTCCGTAGTTTGGCAAAGAATTAACTTAAACTTGACAGTAGGGTAGGCTCAGTTTCTCACATTCTGGGAAGAACACTTTGCTAGGACTGCTTTCTATTATGAGTATCAGGTACATGCCACCCCCTAAAATTAGTATGTGGCCTGCAGAATGAAAAGATGAGAATTAGTCCTTGTTTCCTGGTTGTACTATTTTGGGGCCAGATAATTCATTCTGGGGAGGTTTTATGGAGGCCCTGCCTCTGGAAAGCATCCAGAGGGATGTTACCCCACGTCCATCTGGGGCATTTGAACTTTAAATTTTAGAATGGTAGTTTTCAAACATTATGAGCTCCCTTATATGGAATCCGAAGTGACCATGCAGTATGTAGAGTTGAAACAGAATTTCTGGTGAGAGGGGCACCCAGTGCTCATGACACATTTTGAGGCTTTGAGGTTCTTGCATAGTTTTAAAGAGGAGAGTCACCAGTTTCCTAAATGAGTAATTTCTGCTCAGATTCTTCTGATACAGAAAATGCCATTGAGGATGAAGATGAGGAGGAGGAGGAGGAAGACGACGAGGAAGAAGACTTGGAAGTTAAGGAAGAAAATGGTGTCTTGGTCCTAAATGATGCAAACTTTGATAATTTTGTGGCTGACAAAGATACAGTGCTACTGGAGTTCTATGCACCATGGTAAGGACCAACCTTTTAGTTCTTGTAGCTGGACAGCCTCTATACAGCATGCTGGACCCCTCAAGGTCATACAGGCCCCAGGGAGCGAGAGGGTATGGCTGCAGGAACTCCAGCTAACATCAGTCAGCCTTGAACCAGCCCTCAAAGAAGAAAGAAGCCCTCAAGGAAGAAAGAAGAAACTCAGGTTTCCATGTAGGTAGTCCAGAGTGCTTGCCCCAGGTTCAGGCTATTGGCCTGTGGGGTGTTGTTTCTTTTTTCTTTTTTTTTTCCTCTACACGTGTAAGCCCTGGGGGAAACAAGCATCACACTTCTGCCCATCCTAATGCAATATTTCTTTTCCCCTTTACTTCTCATACTACTTTGTATTTCATAACCCCTTGTTCTTTTCTCTTTCCACTCCTTCCTGTTTCACTTCTGAGACAAAATAGGTTATTATTTAAATAGTCCTTTTTAACAGGTCTATTTCTGTTTTATGGATCAGCCATTTTGATACTTTTTTGGTTGCAAGATCCCCTTAACGCTTTTAAATCAAGGACCCCAAAGAGTGTTTTATGTAGTTCAGTGTTTTTGATAAATACTTATTAATTTTTAGTGACTTCTTGTGGTATTGAAGATGGAATCCAGGGCCTTGCACATATTAGGAAAAGTTCTCTACCACTGACTATATATCCAGCCCTATTGGTTAATTTTTAAATGATAGCAGTCTCTTACATGTTAATATCAGAGTGCTGACATTCTTATAGTCAGGTAGCCTCTGGAAAACTCCACTGTATACTGAGAGTGAGTGTAAAAGAATCACTGGATGAAACTTTGGGTTGTCACTTGATGTCTGAAGGGGATTAATTCTAACCTTCCATGTCACCTACAGACAGCAAGATTCACAGATGCTTCAGCCCCTTATGTCTAATGGTATAGTAGTATTTGCATATAACCTACATATATCCTCCGTATTCTGTAATTCATTTCTTTTTGTTTGTTTTTTTGGTTTTTTTTTTTGGTGATACTGGGGTTTGAACCCAGGACCTCACACTTGCTAAGCAGGTGCTCTACCACTAGAGCCACTCCACCAGCCCCAAAATCATCTCTTGATTGTTATACCTAGTACAAGGTAAATACTGTGTTAGGTAGTTGTTATAGTACACTGTTTAGGGAATAATGACAAAAAAAAAAGTCTCTGTATTCCATAGAAATGCCTTTTTCCCCCACCGTCAATGCTGGAGATCTAACCCAGGGTCTTAAACATTCTAAGCAAGCTCTCTACCACTGAGCTACGTCCTCCAGACCTTTTTTTAATTTTTTTTTTTTTTTGTGTGTGTGTGTGTGATACTAAAGTTTAAACTCAGTGTGTTGCACTTGCTAGGCAGGTGTTCTGCTGCTTGAGCCACACCTCCGGTCCTGTTTGCTCTGGTTATTTTAGAGGTAGAGTCTCTCAGGCTGGTCTACTCTGCAATCCTACTATTTTGCACTTCCCACCATAGTTGGGATGACAGACATGTGCCACCACACTTTGCTTTTGTTCAAGATATTTTTGGGCTGGGATGTGACTCAATGGTAGCATGTTTACCTGCTAGACCTGCTTGATTCAAAGCTCCTGCGGTCTTCTTCGTGGTGTTACATGATGTCTCTTTTTAAGTGCATATATTTCCCAAAGCCCCCATTTTTGTGTGAATGTTGGATTTCCGTCTCCATGAGTGCAGTTAATCTGTTTCCCTTCTCTAACCCTAATTCTTAGGTGTGGACATTGCAAACAGTTTGCTCCAGAATATGAAAAAATTGCCAGGACCTTGAAGGACAATGATCCTCCCATTGCTGTTGCTAAGGTTGATGCAACTTCTGCATCCATGCTGGCTAGCAGGTTTGATGTGAGTGGCTACCCCACCATCAAGATCCTGAAGAAGGGACAGGCTGTTGACTATGAAGGTTCCAGGACGCAGGAAGGTGAGCCAGTATCTGAGCTGTTAAGATGTGCTTGGACCCAGGATTCCCTTCTCTGAGAACAAAAGCAAGAGGAGAGGGCCTTGGGCAGTGAAGGAAGGAAAGGCAAATGGACTTGCTTCCCCAGGAGCACAAGCTCTGCTGGGGTGCTTGGGATGACTAAGGTTGAAATCAAACTCCACCTTGGCAGGAGGGGTACCTCCAACATTTTAGACCATGTCACTAAAGATTCAGAGTAGGACTAGGAATGTGGTTCAAGTGCTAGAGCGCCTGCCTAGCAGATGCTAGACCCTGAGTTCAAACCCCAGTACTGCCCACCCACCAAAGGAAAGAGAAAGAAATGACATCAGCTGAGTAAGGTGGCTCACATCTATAATCTCATTTACTTGGGAAGCAGAGAGTGGTATGATCTCAGTTCAAGGTTAGCCCCAGCAAAAACTTAGCATGACCCCATCTTAACCCATGGTGGTACATGCCTGTTATCCCATCTACATACAAGGCACAGGTATGGTCCAGACCAGCCCAGGCAAAAATGTAAGACTATTCGAAAACCAACTGAGACAAAAAAGGGCTGGGTGCATGGGTCAAGTTAGTAGAGTACCCACCTAGCAAAGCGAAGGTCCTGAGTTCAAATCCCTGTAGTCCAAAAAGGGGAAAGAAGGATCATAGTTCTCCGTGTTCTACAGCAGTGGTTCTCCATCTTCAGCGTGCATCTAGAGGGCTCATGAAGACAAGTTCCTGAGTCCCAGCCCAGAGTTTCTGGCTCAGTAAGTTCAAGTTGGGCCACATAACTGGCATTTTTAGAAGCAGCCAGGCCTTGCCAGTGCTGTGGTGCAAAGCCATACACTGACAGCTGCAGTCCAGGGACTCTCTTGACAGCTTCTATACTCAGGTCTGTTGCCTGGCTTACATCAGGCACTGCGTAAGTTTTATTAAATGAACGAGTAAGTAAAATTGTTTCCTTTAGGCAGTGGCATATTTTTTTAGATCTGTTAAAGAAAAAAGGGGGGAGAGGCAGGAACTAGGGATTCGCGTCTGTAATCCTAGCTACTTGGGAGGCTGAGATTAGGAGAATCACAGTTTGAGGCCATCCCTGGCAAATAGTTTGCAAGACCCTAAATTCAAAATAATAGAGTGCCTGCTTTGTAAGCATGAAGCCCTGACAAACTCCAGTCCCACCATTTAAAAAAAAAAATAGGGTTTAGGTTGAATCTTAATAGCTATGAGATAGGTGCATGGCCTGGACAGTGCCTTCCCCTTGCTGGGCCTCAGGTTCTCATCTGAGAGGTCATTGCACATGATCTCAAAGTTCCTTTTTATGAGCCTTTAAGTAGGGGAGCCAGTTGTGGGTATCCCCCCCCAAAAAAAAAAAAAGTGCTTCCATTGATGCTTAATTTCACAATGTAGATACCTGTCCACTGATTAGGGAGTATTGTTTATGTGCTTCATAATTTGCAGCAATAGATTAATTAATAGTCTTTCTACCTGACCCAGGGCGATTCAGCTCCCCTCCAGGAAGATGGCTAATGTAGTCAATGTTTTGTTTTGTTTTGTTTTTGGCAGTACTGGGGTTTGAACTCAGGACCTCACACTTGCTAGGCAGGTGCTCTACCACTTGAGCCATTCCGCCAGCAAAACGTGATGTTTCTTTTTTTTTTTGGCATCTTCTGTAGTCTTCAAATATACTTTTTTTTTTGTATGTCAAGTATGTTTGTGAATAATTTTTCTTCTTTTTTTTTTTTTGCACAATGGTCAGCAAATCTTGTCACTGTTCTGCACCTGTTTTTATTTAACAAATATGTCTTAGCCACACATGAGGAACTTAACCCCAAAACAGGTTGAAAATAGTGTGCATTCTTTCTAAAAAGTGAAATAGAGGTATTTGGAGGTCTACGCCATGTTAGACTGCAAAGAATCTGGCTCATTTTGGAACCTTTACAGTAGCACATGCCACAGTGTGCTTCTCAGCCCTGGCCCTCTCCTCCGGGTAAGTTTTAATACATGAGCCTCCCTCGGTTGGCTGGCTCGGGACCTCGGGTGTGGGCAGGGGCAGGCAGTTCATGCTGTGAGTGTGAGAGAAGTGATTTTGTGCACCCTGCATCTTAAAGTCTGCTGCTTTTCAGGAGTGGTTGTCAGACATCCTGGGTGTGATCCATAGTGAAAAAGAGGGTTTGTAACCAATGGTCCTAAGAACCGCTTGGCACAGGTGTGCACGCGCTCACACCGTGGCCTCATGCATGGTAGGCGAGCATTCTGCCACTGAGCTACATCTCCAGCCCCGGCGTTTTTTTGTGAGAATACATTCTGTGTCCCCACCCCAGCTGTTGACTCCATATCTGGGGAATGAAGCCACAAACAGGCATTTGTTAGAATGTCTTCCCAGGTGCTGCTGTAGATGGAGCAAGAAGAGCTACTGCTCCTTGTTAACATTTTTCTTGATTTTTTGCACATATTTTATGATGCATGTAATACACTAGTGCTAGGTGTGTATAGTTAAATACATACACGATCGTACATGCTTAGGGGATGTCCCAAAATTGTATTAATAGGCATATATGATCAAAACATGGTAAATGACTGCTCAGGTTCTCCTGCAGTTAGTAAATAGTTTGGGAATAAATAAATGGTTGAAGTTACTCATCAAGTACGTTGTATACCATCTAGAGAAGGCTGCAGGTCAGGTGAGTAGAAATGCTACAGACACTTGTTGGAAACAAGGAACCCTCTGACTTAACTTTGTTCTTAAAACTTTGTGGGTGGCCCTGGTTAGAAATGCAGTCCAAGTTCAGGAACTCCCACAGTTCCTGCTCTCCTTGTGGACCCTAGCTACTTTCTCCCTGTTCTCCACCTGCTTCTGGAGTAAGGTGATGTACCGGCTAGCTCAGGTCTCCATGTGCTCAGTTTCGTTTGATGTGTCTTGTTTTGCTTCTTCAGAAATCGTTGCCAAGGTCAAAGAAATCTCGCAGCCCAACTGGACACCTCCACCTGAAGTCACACTTGTGTTGACCAAAGATAACTTTGATGAAGTTGTCAGTGATGCAGACATCATTCTGGTGGAGTTTTATGCTCCATGGTAAGATGGGGGCTCATTTAATGTTAGTAAGATACGGATTTTTCAGCACCCTGCTAGGCATAGGTGAAAGGTGGCAGAAAGGGACAGTACAGGTGGACACAAGATGAGGCTGAGGCACCAAGTCTTCTAGTAGAGAGGTGGTCATGGGGAACTGTCAGAGGAGCTGGTGTGGAAGGAAGCAGGTAATCCTTCAGGAGGAAAAGGACCCAAAGGAAAGAAGATGCCATACAGAAAGAGTGGGAGAGGGGTCCATGGAGTGACTCAAGCATGCCTGCCTAGCAAGTGTAAGGCCCTGAGTTCAAACCTCAGTGCCACCAAAAACAAAACAAAAAATGAATAAGTAAATAAGAAAGAGTGGGGGAGAGTGCAAGTGGCTGATCTGTAAGGTTCCCAAAAGCTTGGGAACAAAGTGGCTGCCATTCTTGAACTTTTTGGGGAGAGGAGGAACATGCACAATTGCATGGAAAAGCTGGAGTTGAGAAGAGTCAAAATGGAACTTCAAAGGGGAAATAAGTGTAGCTCTAGGAGGGGCCTTCAGCCTCTCCCGGAAAGAGCCTGCAGCACCATTTTATCTTGGTGAACCTGTCACCAATCACCCAGTGGTTCTGACTCCTGAGCAGGCTTGGTGTTTGTCAGGATGGGCCATATAGACTAGAAATCAGTGAATTATGAATCAGGATTGTGACCATCAGGCTAGAAAGAGTGGCCCCAAGTTGCTATATTCGGTGGATGAGCCCCCTGGAGTTAACAAGGTGGCAAAGCATGTGAGTCTAAAATCATCCAACCAAGGCTGTTCTCACCTTCTGCATGGCAAGGGTCAGGGCATCTTGACTCTGGGCAGTGACTGTACAGTCCCAAGCTTGAGGCTCTTTGGATTCTGTAGCAAAACCTCTACAAGCTACGCACCAGTGACTCACACCTATAATCTTAGCTTACTCAGGAGGCAGAGATCAGGAGTATGGTTTAAAGTCATTCTAGGCAAATAGTTCTCGAGATCTTATCTCAAAAATACCCAACCCAAAAAAGGGCTGGTGAGGTGGCTCAAGTGGTAGAAAGCCTGCCTAGCAAGCCTGAAACCCTGAGTTCAAACCCCAGTACCACCAAAAAAAGAGAGAGAAGACAGATGCATGGTGGAAAGTAAAATTATTTCAGAGAGAAAAAAGAAAAGCAACCAGGCCCATGGCACCCTCATAACCCTCCAATGCTAGAGAGATGCTAGCCCTTTTATTGCTACAGCAGGGGTCTTGGGTCTTGGTCCACAGGGTGGGAGCAATGGGAGGAGTTTAAACAGCATGATTACACCAATGGATGCTCAGCAGATTCTACTTTATGACCATTCAGGAGACATGATAGTGCTGGTTTGTCCGATTTATGATGCTAAAGAGGACAATTTTTCTTTCACTTGAAAATAGTGTACATGTTTCAGGATGTATCCTTTAATTCATTTGGATGTCCTTACACCTGAACAAGAGTGTCTTACCTTAACTGAGCATCGGAGAATGGAGGACCTATGTTGTGAGGTCCTGGCCAGGCACGAGTCACTGGGTCTTATGGAATAGATGGGCTGTTTTAAATATTGTGTGAGTATGAGCTGAGGACTGAACCTGGGCCTCACGTATGATAAAGGCACATGCTGTACCACTGAACTACTCCAGCCCCTAGACAGGCTATGTTAAGTGAAGTAGTGTTAATCCGAGTTCCTCTGACTCATGCTCATCTTCTCCTGCCCTGCGGTTTATGCAGTAAGAGATTATCACTCTGCTGTTCTCTGTGCCTTTGTTCACATTGTTACCTTGCTTATGCGCTCCTGTCTGATTGCCCCCTGTCCTCATGTCCCAGCTTAGCTGTCACCTGTCTGTGAGGTCATCCCTAATTTGTATTCTTACCAGGTCCCCAACCAAAAATATCCTCTCCCTTAGGACACTGGCTTTCTTGGCCTTTCTCATGTTTTACCTTTTACCACAGTTGTGATGCTTCTGTCTGCATGTGCACATTTTTCCTACATACAAATGCTGTGGTAGGAAGCTCAGCTTTGGCATGTCCTGGCTTGGCACCTTCACCTGGGAGAGTCTAAAGTTTGGTAAATGTAACCAAGTTGCTCAGAGACACAGAATGAGTTCCTGTACCTTGTTCAGCTGGGAGATGAGTACTCACTGGGACAGGCACCTGACAGAATTGGCTTCCTCCTGGCAGGTGTGGACACTGCAAGAAACTTGCTCCTGAGTACGAGAAGGCCGCCAAGGAGCTCAGCAAGCGTTCTCCCCCAATCCCTCTGGCCAAAGTCGATGCCACTGCAGAGACAGAACTGGCCAAGAGATTCGATGTCTCTGGTTATCCCACCTTGAAGATTTTCCGCAAGGGAAGGCCTTTTGACTACAATGGCCCTCGAGAGAAATATGGTATGACTACTTCCTTCCTCCTATCCTGTGGGTAGGAAGCAGTTAGGGAACTGCCTTGGAACAGTTGGAGCTTGAGTATCTGGGCAGCTCACAGGGCCCTCTTCAGACTTGTGCTCTGCCCTTAGGAATTGTTGACTACATGATTGAGCAGTCTGGACCTCCCTCGAAGGAGATTCTGACCCTGAAGCAGGTCCAGGAATTCCTAAAGGATGGAGATGATGTCATCATCATTGGAGTTTTCCAGGGGGACAGTGACCCAGCCTACCAACAGTATCAGGATGCTGGTAAGTACTGGCCCTCTGGGCTGAACAAAATGTGCCTGAGGCTGCTGGGAAATACGCTGTTTTGCATAAATGTCCAGGGCTGACCGTGTGAAAGTGGCTCACACCTGGAATTCTAACTGCTTGGGAGGCTGAGATCAGGAGGCTCTTGGGTCAAAGCCAACCTGGGGAAATAGTTTGCAAGACCCCATCTCCAAAATAACCAGAGTGAAATGGACTGGAGCTGTGGCATAAACAGTTGATTGACTGTTTTGCAAGGACTGGAGTTTAGTTCTGGTAGAATGCTTGCCTAGCATACATGACACACACACACACACACACACACACACACACACCTGGATTTGATTCACACACACACACTCTGCATACACACACACACACACACACACACACACCTGGATTTGATTCACACACACACACACACACACACACACACACACACCTGGATTTGATTCACACACACACACTCTGCATAAAACTCCTGGGGGCGTTAGTGTAAGAGATGACTTAATAGAAGAACCAAGGTAGCATCTGTGAGAATGAGCTTTCTGGGCTGGGGCTTAGGTCATTTCCTTATCACCTGTGTTGTACATAGATGGTGCAATCACATACTCAGTGTGCAAGACTGGCTATGCCATGTGTCCTCTTTCCCTCTTCCTCCCACCCCACAGTCTTTACAGAGAAGGAAAGGGCATAGTCAATCGCCCAAGTTGTCTGTCTTCCTCCCTGCAAGAGGGAACAGCTCTAACCCCGAAGCAAAGGGCCTCTGGGTCAGGCCTGGGTTCCTGTCCTGCCTCTGCCAGATACTAGCATTGTGGTTACTGGCTGTGACTCCACTACTAGTGCCCAAGGCTTCGATCTGTCCTACTCTTGAGAGTTGTCACAGTAATCGGGATGATGTAGATGAAATGCTTAGGAGAGCCCCTGGTACTATGAGTGCACAATAAAGGCTAATCTTGCTAGTCTGAGATGTGAAGTGATTATGAACAGCTGTCAATTAGTTGTTCTGCCATGGTGGGGCAGACAGCAATAATTAAGAAATCCATTGTCTGGGGATGGGGACATGGCTTAAATGATAGAGCGCTTCAAGCGTGGCACCCTGAGTTCATTCCTAATCCCTTATCTGCCCGGGTCTGGGTTCTGATGCCTAGGGACTGGAGTGCTGGCCATCCTGGGAGGCACCTACAGAGTGAACAGAAGATGTGTTTTTAGGACCCTTATGGTCCTTTCCATCCTTCACTTTCTTTTCAGTGAGTCTGTCGTCTGTCTCCCGTCTCCCCAACCAGTTTGATCTTCTACTTGAAGTTACTAGCTATAGTGTTTTAAATGTACTGCTTGCCACTGAGTACAGATTTCTTTGTGGCACAGTAACAATTGTGCATACATCAAATGCAGGTTAATGTAATAAAACTTAAGTAGAGTTAAATTTGATTCATGTTTCCTCAGTGTTATTAGACACCCTGATCATCTGTTCTTGACTATTCTGGGAGACACTTGCTGAGGGAAACCCCAGTCTACCCAGGGCTTTCCCTGAGTGTAGAAGCCTTGCATCCAGGGCTCCTGCCCACATGCAGTCAGCCCCAAACTCAGGAGGAGACTAAGCCCATATGAAGGGTGGTGGGTGTGAAACCTCAGCACAGGGATCGAACATGTGCTGCTTGGCTGTCCTCTGTGAGGTGCTTCAGTCTGAGTGTCACTGTGCTGCTCACCCTCGTAGACAGCAGGTGACAGTTGCTCCTGACAAATAATTCTAAGTTTTCTGTGAACATTCAGTTTATTTCTGACGAATTCCAAGATCAGGACTTAAACGTACTCCACACAGTTAAGCTCTAGGAATTGTCCATACTGAACTTAAAGTGGCAGTCACACTCTTCTGGACACTTGCTTTGGCCAATATGAGTAATGAATTAAACCTCAGTCATTTAAGGTATTTAATAAGTTGTGTTTGTTTTGTTAACTTGTCAGCTAACAATCTGAGAGAAGATTACAAATTTCACCACACTTTCAGCACTGAAATAGCTAAGTTCTTGAAGGTCTCCCTGGGGAAGTTGGTTGTAATGCAGCCTGAGAAATTCCAGTCGAAGTATGAACCCAGGAGCAGGGTGATGGATGTGCAGGTAAGTGAAGGCTCTCCAGGGGCCTGATGTATCCTGTGCCATGCCAGTCCCTGTGTACCCAGCAAGCATGAGGGTCTGGGGTTTGAAGCATGAAGGTTTTGACCTGTCCACAGGATCTGGAGTGCCTTTCCCAGACTGTCTCCCCATCCAACTTGTAACCTTAAAGATACGGGATGGGAATACAGCCTGAAAGGGGCTCATGAACCAGGTTTGCAGGAGGGGTGGGATTGAAAGACTCACACACCTGGCAGGTCATGGGGGCCCTGCTTTGCCAAAACAGTTGCTGTCTTCCTACCTCCTGGCTGACAAGCTCCTTGGGTGCCCTTCACACTGTGCATTTGGCCTGACTGTAGCCAGGGTCTGAGCTGAGCCTCATTGGCTCAAGTGGCTCAGGTGCCTTGGCACGTGGCACCTGGCAGGTGGCTCAGGTCCTTCTGGTCCTTGGCTGTTGAGCTTGGCACATGGATTTGGCCTTTGTTTTCACTACTTCCTATATACCCTCTATCCCCAGCCTCATCCAATTAAAGTGTGTGGCACACTCAGTTCTAGAAGGACAAGCAGATGCTCTGTTCAGCTCAGTGTTCCAAGTGCTTCAATGAATAGATCTCAGGTTGAGAAGGAATCTCGAGCGATGCCTCAAAGCTTTCATTCAGCAAAGACTGGTGTGTGGAGAGTGTCTCTTGCACTGGGGCCCCACAGAAGTTAGAATCTGAGATGGAAGTGCAGATGTATCTCCCAGGCTGGGATGACCCCATGGCATCAAGGCCCTCATTGGATTGTGGGCTCTCATGGGACCTGGAAGGAAGGAAGTGAGGGTAGCACCAACGGAGCAACCATGGAGACCCCTGGAGAAACTATGACTGTCCTGAGTCTCTCTGGCCCCCTCATCTCCTTCCTCCCTCGTCGCTTAGTTCTGTTGCTCCCTCTCCCAGTCTGCATGCCTGCCCTGTCTGTTATTTACCACAAGACGCTCAGGGCTTCCTCTTTCCCCGACTTGGGGTAGTCCTTCCCTCCAGTTTCTCTTCATTTCATTCATAGACACAGATTCAGGGCCCAAAGAGGGATGTTTGTGGGGGTGCTGAGGACCCTGGGAATCAAAACATAGCTTATATGGTGTGCGTTTCCATAAGGGTCTGTGATTTTCAATAGATTCTGAAAGGGGTCCTCAACTCCAGAAAGTTACGATTCATGTACTGTGGTCTTTCAAGCCCATCACTGCTGCTGCTCTTCTCTTGAAGAGCCTTCTCAGTGAAGCTTACTTTAGGGAAGCAGCATAATTAAAGACTCTATGTAGTCCCCTGCCACTTGGGTCTAACGTCTTAGTGCAGCTTCCAAGGCACACCTTGCCTGCTTTTCAAGCACATTCCACCCATCCAGTGCCATCAGACCAGATTTTTATGGCACCTTGCCCTGCTTCTACCCTGCTGCTTCCTCCCCTGTATGCCTCTGCTCCCTTCCCACTTGGCAAAGCTCATGTCCTTCGGTGCCACAGGGGCCATCTTCCTGGCTGCCCATGCAGACAGAAATTCTGGGCTCAGGGTTCACACACCACTTTCTAGCTGTACAGCAGAAGACCTGGCTCCAAGATGACTGAGCTCTGTAGTCCCCGTGGTAACTGCCACTGTACCCACTAGTCACAGGTGCCGTGTAAATGTCAGTGGGGTCACATGATACTAAGACACTCCACCTGGAAAGCCTTGTGAGCCAACCTTAAAGGGATTCATTGTTGAGCCTATTCAAGGATAGCCACTTGTGCCCAACTGTGTTAGTTCAACACCTCACTTCCCAGACAGGATGGACAGTCTTGGTGGTTGGTAACTCACCAGCCATGCAGCTTCTTCTGACTCCAAATTTAACCTGAAGCTACACTGTTCTCTACTACAATATGAAGGTTAAGGTGTGATTTCTTGGGGGAGAATGCAGAGCCTCACTTGCTACTTGCCAGCTGTGTGAACCTGGACCATACCCCATTACCTAGCTGAAGATGGAAAGTTCTGCCCAGTTCAGTCCAAGTTAGCAGCTGCTGTCATCCAAGAACCAGCCTGCCTTGAGTTGCTTTGCCACTGGGCTTGGTGAGCCCAGGCCAAAAGAAAGAGTCTTCCTTGCCTGAGAAGTAGTGAAGTAGTGTAGACCAGAGGGAAACGAGTCAAAAAAGACAACAGGAAGTTATTGGGGGTCTGCTTGAATTGGGGCAAGCCCAGAGTGTTTGACCCCTTGAGACTGATCCCCTTAATGTCTCCATAGTCCTTCTCGGGCAGAATCCCTTCAGAGCAAACATCTGTGCTCATTAACGGTGACAATTTAGCTAAAGCCCTTGTTTTGCTGGGTACCCTCTCACCTGTGCCCTCTCTAAAACAGGGTTCCACGGAGGCTTCAGCCATCAAGGAGCACGTGCTGAAGCATGCCCTGCCTTTAGTAGGCCACCGCAAAACCACCAACGAAGCCAAGCGGTATACCAAGCGCCCCCTAGTGGTCGTCTACTACAGTGTGGACTTCAGCTTCGATTACAGAGCTGGTGAGGGAGCCTACCAAGAGATCTGTCTGAGGTGGGGTGGGGGACTCACAAAAGTAGAAATTTCGCCCCCAGCTTGTGCAGATTAGTTGCATGGGTGTAATTATTACAGCTTCAGGATCTTCTTCTGTTTCTGTGCTGTATAATAAGTATCCTTTTTCCTTCCCTTTTTAGCAAGAGGGCAGCTTAGAATCAAGCCCAGTGCCCTGTTAGAGATGAGGTTTCAGAGCTAGGACACGACAGCCTCTGGCTAGGAGAGCACGACTCTCCTAGGGCTGCTAGGTGGGCTTCCAGCGTTGGGCCACCTGCTCACAAACAGTGATTCTACCAGAAGTGCTTGTCTCTGCAGTTGAGGTCCATTGGGACTTGTGCCTTGTCAGAGAACATTAGCGACAGAATTTTAAATTTCACCTTAGGGTCCATGCTGGGACAGTTGCTCCACACAGCTACTCAGCTCACAGCCCTTGGTCCATTTCAGCTACTCAGTTTTGGCGGAACAAAGTCCTGGAAGTGGCCAAGGACTTTCCTGAGTACACGTTTGCCATTGCTGATGAGGAGGACTATGTCACAGAGGTGAAGGATCTAGGGCTCAGTGAGAGTGGGGAGGACGTCAATGCAGCCATCCTGGACGAGAACGGGAAGAAGTTTGCCATGGAGCCAGAGGAGTTTGATTCTGACACCCTCCGGGAGTTTGTCACAGCTTTCAAAAAAGGTTAGTTGAGGTCCAGGTCTCTCCTTTGGTGGGGCACAGAATCTGGCCAGATCATGGAGGCCTCTGGTAGCCCCTTCCCCACTCATGTCCCCACTTCCACCCCCTCTCTGACTTTCTTGTCTGGGGAAGGGAGAGGTGTGGCCCCAAACCCCAGTGCAGCAAGACAATTTAGAGGGTGTTTTCAAACATTTGGGAAGATTTTTTTCACCACTTTTGGTAATTCTTCCAATTGTGTACTTTGAAAGCAAAAGTAAGATTTGGGAGTTCACTTAGGGCTTATTTAGCATCAGCCTCAAGAACTAAAATTGAGGGTTAGAGCAGGGGTACACAAAGGGGTATCTGCATCATATGCAGATCAGATAGTGCAAAGTTTGGGCACAGTTAATGCCTCTGGTGGCTTCTGAGCCCAACTCAGCTTCTTTGTTGTCAGCCCCTTGTTCTCATGAGTTGACCCTTCTTTTCTTTCCTGGACCTGAGGGATGGAGAGGGTGGAGATGGATGGAGTGTCTCAGTTTTTTTTTTGTGTGTGTTTTTGTTTTGTTTTTTGGCAGTACTGGGGTTTGAAGTCAGTGCTTTGCACTCAACAAGACAGGCACTCTACCATTTGTGCCATGCCTCCAGTCTTGTTTTTGTTTTTTGACACAGGCTTGGCTACATAGCCCAGAATTGCCTTGAACTCAATTCTATCTCAAGTGTCACAGTTGTGCATCATCACACTGAGGCTGATTTCTCTTTCTTTTTTTTTCATTTATTTATTTAGAAAAGAGGCAAATAAATCTTGGAAATTTTAAGAAGCCTTTCTTTAGGGGAAAAAAAAAAAACCAAAAAACCCAAAACTTTAAATTTGGGTTTTTGACTGAGAAATTAATTTTCATAGATGAAGAAAACCTGATTTAGGATATAAATAGTATGTTTATTGATCTTGGTTGAGCAAATCATCCATTTCCCAGAACTGGCCATACAAAGTGCCTGTTGGACTTCTTGGACTTCCCTGTGGCTCTTAGGACCTTGGTGCCAGCACTGTCAGTAACATCTCTGTACCAGTCTGTGACTTTCAGGATGACTTTGATGAACAGGGCCTGTGGCCCATTAGCCAGGGGTAGGATGGCCCTTCACCCTCTCTGGCCTTTGCAGAGATTGGAAGAGTTAACCATAGTGCCCATTGCTAGAAGAGGTTTGGGGGAACAAGGCCCTTCCTGTCCCTGGCACTGTGTAGCTCACTGCCTGGTCGAAGTAGAGCCACAAAGTCCAAGGCCTTTCAGCACTAACAGCGCCTCTCCCACCTGCTTTCCTTGGCAGGAAAACTGAAGCCAGTTGTCAAATCGCAGCCAGTACCCAAGAACAAGGGGCCAGTCAAGGTGGTGGTGGGAAAGACCTTCGATGCCATCGTTATGGATCCCAAGAAGGATGTCCTCATAGAGTTCTATGCACCATGGTGTGGGCACTGCAAACAGCTGGAGCCCGTCTACACCAGCCTGGCCAAGAAGTACAAGGGCCAGAAGAACCTGGTCATCGCTAAGATGGATGCTACCGCCAATGACATCACCAGTGAGCACTACAAGGTGGAGGGCTTCCCCACCATCTACTTCGCCCCCAGTGGGGACAAAAAGAACCCGATTAAATTTGAGGGTGGAGACAGAGACCTGGAGCACTTGAGCAAGTTTATAGATGAACATGCCACAAAGTGGAGCAGGACAAAAGAAGAACTTTGAAGACCTGGAGGTCTGCAGGAGGTGGGAGGGGCCAGACACTGTAGCCACCAGCGGCCACTGAGTGAGCCCCTGAGGGCTGAGGCCATGGGTGAAATAGCAGTATCTTGGCCTTTTTTTTTTTTTTTTTTTTAAGCTATACTTGGGTATGTCACCTTGTGCTCTGAATACTGAATAGCCATGAATGACTCTAGTTTAGATCAAATTTTTATGGAGGATACATCTATTTTTATCATTTTGGGTCTGATTTTTTTTTTTTAATCTTCTTTAATATTTCTTCAAAACAGATAAGTTGAATTCTTTTGTGAGAATGTTTTCTTTTTTTAATTTAAAGTTTAAAAAGTCTTTGCCAAATCATGTGGAGTTTGCCTTTTACTTTCTCATTGTCCAAGGAACTGTTTGTTAGTTTCAGAAAACGTGACTGTTGGTACATTTTAGTTTTGGGCTTCTTCCTGGGCACACCACAGCAGTAGCATTTCCACGGTCACCATTCCACCTGCTGACACCCTGGGCCAAGGGTAGAGGAGCATGGTCCCGTACCCCACACTGGAGTAGAAATGACCTCTGGCATGGTGGAAAGTTAAGGGAGGCTGTCATAATGGAATGAAAAATTTACTAAATCTTAATAACTGTTAGAAAATACCTGCTCTTTCTAGCAGTGTTACGGTTGAGTGGAAGTAATGGAGAGGCCAGGCCCCTGCCTGGTGAGTAGGCTTCTCCTCTCTCACCTGACCTAAAAGTCTTGGGAGTTGAGGAGATCATCGTGACCCAGAGTGAGGGGCTTCAGATGCAGTGACAGATTCTGTCATGATGGGAAAGAGGACAAAGCCTGACTGCTTCTATGAGGGCTCAGAGGAGGGGAAGGGGCAGAAAAGGGTGGGGCCAGCCCTGACTTGGAGGGTGCTGTAGACACCATGGGGCCTGGAGGATCAAGGTGAGTAGGAGTTCATGTCTTTTATGCTGCCCCTTCCTAACAGTGTCAGAAGACAAAGCAGCAGCTCTTTCAATAGTGGCCTTGGTATAGAGCAGGAGGAGGGTGAGGACAAGGAGTTTGTCTTTCAGGAAGGGGGCCTTTTCCAAACTGCCATAAATACGAGCCTGGCCAAGGTAGACAGAACTGAGAATGGGTCAAGGTGTTCAAATCCTCAGTCTCCAGTGTGACGGGAGTCTGCTGCCTTCATGCCTGTCTTCCATACTGAGCAGGGGCCCTGTTTTCAAACTTCCTCCCTCAGAGACTTCATGGCAGAAAGTTCATAGGAAGTACAGGTGTGGGGTACTGCTCAGAAGTGCTAGTATTCAACACTGCCAGGACAACAAAATGGTTCCTCTCCTAATGGTGCTTCTAATTCACATGAGTATGAAGGGTTAGGAAGAAGATAGCTAGCTAGTATGGCTTCATGTCATTGAGGCAAAAGTGAAGATGTATCCTCTGAAAATACAACCTGGAAACCAGGTTGTTATGGTGTCATCTCCCCATAGCAGTGTTACTATTTATAGAAAGAATGGAACAAAACCCAGGAAATAGTAGTATGTACTTTTAGCCAAGGGCCCCAGTTATGATAGCTGGGAGATGAGTCTCCAGGGGCCAGGGCTTTTGGGGTACAAGTCATTTTCACTCCCACCAAGATATTCCTGCAAGGAACTGGAGCTAGAAGAGAGAAGTTTTAAAAACCCCAAATTCCTAGTCCCCCCACCCTTACATTGGGAACCACTGCTGGTTTTAAGCAGCGAAGTGATAATGGTCAGACAGATTTTAGAGAGTAATAACATTTATGGGATACTTAGCAAAAGCCTGACTGGGTGTTAGGCAAAACTAAGTGGTCTGGGAGGGAGAGGCTGTTGTATTCGCAGGTGGAAGACAGGAAGGGGCAGAGCTAACTGGCGGGCTGTGTTTGGCAAATAGAGAGCTGGGGCTTGTGCACTGGTCCCTGTCTTGTGCTTTTGCTTCTCCTTCCTAGAAAACTTAGCCTAGTAGCCAGGGTCGTGCGCTGCCTGCAATTTGGATACAAAATGGACTCCATCGGCTATGGTGCTTGATCTCCAGGCACACCAGACATTGAGGGTCGGTGTGTGAACCTTTCTGAGAAGCTTGAAATAACTGAAATTTTTGTTGCTTAGTTTTGAAACTTTCAAGCTGTCAATTGGGTGCCTCTTAGGTGTGAAGGACTTAGGTATTATCAAAACCAAGCTGGTTCTACAGTTTAACTGTGTGACTTGGAACAAGTTACTTAACCTCCTCTTATTTGGGGTGGGGGTATTACCAGCTGACAAGAGTTTCAGATGTTCCTCTGTCCTTGGATATAGTGTTTAAGATTAGTGCAGCAGAAAAACTAGAAAGAATAGAAAGCAAAGGGTGCCCCTTGAACCTGTGGCTCACACTTGTAATCCTAGCTACTCAGGAGACAGAGTTTAGGAGGATAAAGGTTCAAGGCCAGCCCAGGCAAATAATTCATGAGACCCTGTCTTGACCTGCTCTGTTTCTGACCTGGGCTGGTTCACCCCACCTTAGGCAACCTGGTGGTCCCGGGAGGTCACCATTCAGCAAGTGAAGGTAGGAGCATAGAGAGAGCCCAGCCTGGGCTACATAGCCTATCAAAAACAAAAACATCATTCTGATAACTTGTTTACACAAAGGAAAGATTACTACCTGTGAACTTATCAAATTAAATAAGAACTACATGAACACATGAGCATATCAGGCTCTTATTAGAAAAACCTCTTTAAGTCTTGTTAATGGCATGTTCATTCTAACCGTGACAGAAGTCTGGGAAGAAAAGAGGCGGGAGGCCACTCAGAGCCAAGCACAAGGTTACTGAGCCACTTAGTTTTGTTTCTGTTGAGCTGGGGATTGAACCCAAAGGCTTTGTCCATACTAAGACATGCACTCTACCATTGAGCTGTACCAACTCCCAGGAACACTGTTAGATAAACCAACACGAACTGTAGACCCTCTCGAGACCCAGCTTTCTCACCTTCCCAGAGGGCCCCCGAGCAGCCACTTCACACTGCTTTCTCCTTTTCACTAGCTGGGCACAAAACAAAAAAAGCATAGTTCTCCAGTTCAACTGTTCCCTTCTTAAATTACCAAGATAGTGTGGAAGAAAGAGGGGAACAAAGGACCACTTGCTCATAAATAAAGACTGAGCAGGGATCTTATGGAAAGTGGCACTGGACTTGGAGGAGGAATCATGTGGGAAAGGAGCCCTTCTATCTATTCTTCCTGAGTTTTCTCCTATATAAAAAACAGTGTGGGCTCAGCTGAGATTGAATGCTTCGATGGCTTAAGATCCGCCCTCACCTGCCACTCCAGAAGGGTCCTTATGAAGCAAAGAGAGTTAAGGCTGTTGGTACACTTTAGAAATCTTCAAGGGGGCTCTGTTTGTGGGAATTGAGGCATGCTGTCACTATTCTGATTTTTCAAGAAAAGTATTTTTATGTGAAATTTAGTATTTTTGTGGGACTGAATTTGAACTCAGAGCTTCGTGCTTGCAAATCGAACACTGTACCTCTTGAGCCACACTTCCAGCCCATTTTGCTCTGGCTATTTTGGAGATGGGGCCTCAAAAACTATTTCTCCTGGCTGGCCTGGAACCTCAATCCTACAGATCTTAGCCTCCCAAATAGCTAGGATTACAGGTGTGAACCACTAGTGCCTGGCCTGAATCTTCCTGGCCAGGAGGCAGGGTAGGTGATCCTCGATTAAAGAACCACTTAAGCCTTCGCAGGAATCTAGACCCACAGAAGCAAATGCAAGCAAGAGCCAGAGTCTCAGGTGACTGTGCAGGACAGTTTCAGCACCATCTTCAGAAGCCCTGATGCAGTGCACCAGTCAGATTCCAGGCCTCTCGCAGCTGGGTACAGAGGTCAGAGAGGCCCTCTCATCCCCATGTGGCTGTGAAAGCCCTTGGGTATCTTTTTATTTCATCTTGTGTTTCTAAATTACTATTTTTATTTTAGCAGCTCAAAGGCAAGAGGGACTCAAGTAAGTGTTCCTGAAAATTTGGTCCCCTCCCTTCACAATGCCCATTCTCAAATAATGAGAGCAGGGTTTTGAAGAAAAGGAAATAAGTTTTGTTAATATTTTCCAGACAGACAGGACAGTGAGATTCAGTCTGAAATTTCTGTCATCCTCCTTCTAAGAGAAAATATCCAGGTTTTAAGTCTTGAGGTGACAGAGGTTTACTTCTTCCTGTGGTCAGAGAGAGGTAAGGGTGGGAGGGGAAGATTGCCTGAGTTAGTTGAAGGAGTGTTAACTCTGGGCTTCCCACCATGGGGAAGAGAGAAAGGGGGGAAAAAAGCCAGATTGAATTCCTGAATAAGACACACAGCAAACTGACCAGAAACTCAAACTAGCTGCAACTGAAAGCCTCTCCCCAACCTTACTTTTGTGGTTCCAGTTCCAGATGGAGGTTTCGGTTTAATTATCAGGTGAGTCACAAGGAAGAACCCTGACTTCCTTGTAGCCATTTTTGGTATTCTCCACGTTTGTGTGTGGTGGGGGCGTCCCATGTCTGTTTGTGGTAAAATAGGAGGTAAAGAGTAGCTCAGACACAAGAAGGTAAGAGTCATGCCACCATTGCATTCTGAAACCCCATGAATGATGTTTGTCTTGAACAGAGTTTTGTCCTCCTTCCCACAAGGGAAATTAGCTGTGTCCTGAACCTGGGCAAGTGTCCCTACGGTGGGATTGGGATATTGTCCAAGGCAGACTGAGGGTGGAGGCAATGAAACCCCAGCAATGTCCCTCAAAGACCACTCAGACACTTGGGTCAATGCAACATTTATTTCACACTTCAAATGCATACTTAGAAGGTCCAAGAGGGAGTCACTGGCACACAGTTGGTCACCTCGCAAGGCACCATGGCAGGTAAGGCTTGTGCTCCACAAGGGAGCTCACCAAGCTGTCAGGCTGAGTTTGCTGGGAGCTCGATCTGCATGGGAGGCAGAGCTACCACACAGCAAGACCTCTCTTACTCATGAGAGGAAGCTCTTCTGGCAAGGAGAGAGTCCCTTGATGCTAGTACGTAGTGAGTATCAGAGGACGTTGGAAAGTGCATTCTGCTGGGACCTCAGCAGGCACCCTTTTTATATGTCTTTTTTCCTCAGGGTGTTCCCCTCTTATGTTATTTAGTCCTCTGTTGATTGGTTACACCCTTGAGTATGATCCAGGTGGGTGTCTGTGGCAGGCTGCTCTAGACATCATCACGTCTTAGCATGAGTGTTGCCATATTGGATGCCATACTGGGCATTTCTTGGCTGCATGCCTTTTCAGTCCTGTCCATATAGGTGGTGTCCTGGTGTTGGTGGCAGCTGTTTATCTATAGTTCAGAGATCTAGTAGCTCACTGATTCTAA